ACTGTCGTGTCGTACGTCCTCTACCTCCACCTCTCCAACCTTCCCCAGGCGAGGTCAGTGCTCGGCATTTCGCCGCAGGTCGCTGAATCCGTGCTGCCCGTCGTGCACGACTCTGTGTACAGGCAGCCGATGGTCCTGTCCTAGGTGGAGACTTCGGCGCGCCCCCAGCGACGCGCCAGGAGGAGGAGGAGGAGGAGGAGGAGGAGGAGGAGGCGGAGGCGGAGGCGGAGGCGGAGGCGGTGGCGGAGGCGGAGGCGGAGGCGGAGGCGGAGGCGGAGGCGGAGGCGGAGGCGGAGGCGGAGGCGGAGGCGGAGGCGGAGGCGGAGGCGGGGGCGGAGGCGGAGGCGGAGGAGGAGGAGGAGGAGGAGGAGGAGGAGGAGGAGGAGGAGGAGGAGGAGGAGGAGGAGGAGGAGCGGGACGAACAGGAGAAGGAGGAGGAAGAAGAGGAGGAGGAGAAGGAGGAGGGGGGGGAGGGGGAGGGGGAGGTGGTAAAACCCCTGACAGACAGTGAGGGCAACAGTAGTGGCCCTCGATGTCTTTAAACGAGCACGGGGAGGAGGAGAGAGGATAGTATCTGAGAGGGAAGGCGGAGGCGGCGGAGAAGAAACAAATTCCTTCACAGTTTCCTAGATTCGTGTGATTTCCTACTTTCACCTTCCTCCCCACCTCATTCCTTCAACTTGAGCGTGCAAGGTGCAGTGCAAGGCCGTGGCACGTGGGTTCAATTGCTCAATGTTTTGTCCGCCCGCCCGCAATGACGACCGAGATCACGGGCGAGGTCTGGATTGAAGTTCGGCCCCGAGAGCCCGAAGATTCAGAGACGGTCCCCAGCGGCGCGCAGAAGGGGGCCCCCTTGAAAGTTGAAGAGCTTCCCCAAAACAGAACAGCCCCTTGCATTCTTTGAAAAGCTTCCGATCCCTGACTTTTTAGGGTGCCGCACCCCACCCCGGCCCCTGTCACCCCTGCCTCCCCCCGCGCGTCGTTGGGGATCGAGGTCCCACTGAGCGCTGTCGAGCTCACTTGGCGCCGCGTCGTGCGTCGCGCAGTTCGACTCAAGTTAATCAGGCGCCTCTGGGCAGCGATCGGCGCGCGGCTGAAAATTGTGAAGGACAGGGGGAACGAGGCCTGAGAGGCCTGGGCATGGCAAGGCGCAGAAGAGGAGGATGGGGGAGAGAAGGTGGAGGAGGAGGGGAGGAGGAGGTGGGCAGGTGGCAGCTCTGTCGGACCTCTGTCGGTTGCGCCGCCGGCGCCGCCCTCCCCGACCCCCCGCGTGGCGAGGTGGTCGCCCTGCATGCCGAGTGGCCATTTTGACCGAGAGGCACCGCCTGCCACCTGCTTGGAGCACGCTGCGTCGTCGCGGCGGTGCCCGCGGGTATTGTTTTCGCCCCGCGAAGCCCCCAGCTGCGGCGCTGCGCCTGTGGGCTACCCAGTAAAAGCAACAACAACAACAACACAACAACAACAACCACAACGTCAACGCCAACAACGACAACGCCAACAACAACGTCAATAACAAAAACATCAACAACAACAGCGTCAATGACAACGACATCGACATCAACGACAACATATTATTCACGCTTCGCGTGTCCCCGCAAGCCCACCCAGAAACGATAAGCGGGGGAATTGGCGAGCAGGACGCATGCAGTCGCGCGGCCGTCTTCGGGAAAACAAGGATATCAAATAACTCCCCGCATTTAAGTTCAATATGGAAATCAATGCTAGCTACGATGGTGCCCCGATGAGGGGTGAGGGGTGTTTCGATGACTCGTAATGGCTGTTGCGCCGATTTGTATCTAAAACCCGCGTGCGTTTCGAAACTTGGAGCCATATTGGGGCTCCCTTCGGTTCTCTTGGGGCCCTCTTGGGGCTTTGCTGGAGCTCTTTCTTAGGGCTCTCTTGAGGTCCTCTTAGGGCCTTCTTGGAGCCCTCTTGGGGTTCTTTTGGGGCGTGTTGGGGCACTCTTGGAGTTCTTTTGGGAGGTCTGGGGGCCTCATTGGGCTCTCTTGGGGATGCCTGAGGGGCCTCATGGGGCCATCTTGGGCCCAGCTTAAAAGTGCAGTCCTGGGGCCTTGGCCCGCTCTTGGAACGCTCTTGGGCGCTCTTGGGGCCGTCATGGGTCCCTTTTGGGCCCCTCTTGGGGCTATCCTGGACCGCCTTGGTGCCGCGTTGGGGCCTCGGGAGCCCATCGGAGGCGAAAATGCGAGAAGGCACACCATACTGGTTGTCTTTAGGTTTTGATTGATATTGGCCTCTTGGGCGGGTCCTCGGAGGCCTCGGACGGCGCGGGAAACCATCTTGGGCCATCTTGGGCGTTGCTGCGCCCCCCCCCCCCCCCCTCCCCCACCCACCCACCCACCCACCCAAACGCATGGGGGGGAGGGGGGAGGGGGGGGTAAACCTCCCGAGCAGGGGAAGGATGGAGGTTGAAAAAGGAAACGCCCTAGACCACCTGTTCCCAGAGGGCTCTGGGACTCCCGCTGTCCAGCTGGGCCCCAAATAGTTGTCAAGTTCAAGGTGCCACCATGATTGAGAATGACGTCTAGCACTGATATGGGATATTCGTAGCAGCAGCCATGTTGGCTCCAGCGTACAATGTAGTAATGGCCCTCTGGGTTTGCGCCTGCCGGGAGGGGGACAGAGAGGGAAAAGGGGGGAAAGGGATGGGGAGGGAAAGGGAGGGGGAAGGGGATGGGGGAGAGGGAAAGGGAGAGGGGAGGGGGAAATGGAGAAGGGAGGGGGAAGGGGTAGGGGGAGGGGGGGGGGGGGGGGGGGGGAGAGGGGGGGGGAGGATGAGGAAGAGGAGGAGGAGGAGGAGGAGGGGGAGGAATGAGGAGGAGGAGGAGGAGGAGGAGGAGGAGGAGGAGGAGGAGGAGGAGGAGGAGGGAGGAGGGGGGGGGAGGGGAGGGGGAGGAGGAGGAGGAGGAGGAGGAGGAGGAGGAGGAGGAGGAGGCGGAGGAGGAGGAGGCGACGGAGGCGAGGCGACGGAGGCGACGGAGGCGACGGAGGCGGAGGCGGAGGCGGAGGTGGAGGTGGAGGCGGAGGAGGAGGAGGAGGCGGAGGCGGAGGAGGAGGAGGAGGAGGAAGAGGAGGAGGAGGAGGAGGAGGAGGAGGAGGCGGAGGCGGAGGCGGAGGCGGAGGCGGAGGACGAGGACGAGGAGGAGGAGGACGAGGACGAGGAGGAGGAGGAGGACGAGGACGAGGCGGAGGCGGAGGCGGAGGCGGAGGCGGAGGCGGAGGAGGAGGAAGAGGAGGAGGAGGAGGAAGATGAGGCGGAGGAGGTGGAGGCCGTAGCCATTGTGGCTCATGGGGCCTTTTCCTTAACTTCCCAACCTCGGCTCAGGAGCGACAAGGTTTGGCCGCCGCCGGCCGCTCGCGCCCCTGGGTGCCATGCCGCTGGCGCTCAGGACTTGAGTTATACATGGGGAAAGGGGAATGGCCGCGGGCCCCAGTGGGGCCCCACCCAACAAGAAACCCTCGGGCCCCCATGTGGCCGCTGCGGCTGTAAAAAGAACTTGGAGCACAGCAAGTTGTGCCATCGTTGCGGTGCTCCTTACGGTCGTCCTGCTCCTCCACCCCCGTCATCCAGTGGAGGGGATTGGAGGGGTCCGCCGCCCCCCCTGGGCGCGCGGAAAGGGCGAAGGAAAGGAGTTCGCGGCGCGCCAGCACGCGGCCAGTCGGCTTCAGAGGGCGGGCGTCCAAAAGACGGCGGGACCAAAGGCGGGGGGCGTGGCGACCGCCCCAGCCATGCACCGCACGACTCCCTCCACCACCTCTTCCAGTTGGGGAGCGGGGGGAACAGTTTTGACGAGGCTACTTATGGATTCCTCATTCAGGCTTGGAACGCCCACCAGGCCCATCAGGAGCCGCAGGCCTCGGCCTCGACCATCCTCCAGAAGCTTGAGAAGCAGGTCTAGAAATATGAGGGGGAGGTCGAGACGATCCAGGACCAGGTCATTGAAGCAAAACAAGTTATCACAGAGCACTTGGAGTGGAGGCAGCAGTTAGGAAGGGATTTGCAGGCAGCTCAAGTCCAGCTCGCTGAGGCCCGCACTAAGGTACATCTCAAGCTTCAAGAATCTATGGGTCCAGGGCCTTCTCCAGCAGCTCCGACTGGGGATACGTATGCGGGGATCCTCAAGCAGGCAGTTGGAAATGCGGTGCACGACCCGACTATGCGAGGGCAAATCGAGCACCAGTTCTTCTCCCCCCTCGGCGCGCTCACCCCGTCGATCCCAGCAGACCCAGGAGGAGCCCCAGGAGGGGGAGGTGCTATGCCAGCAGCCGCCGCAACACTCATGTCAGCAGCAGAGAGCATTGCAGTCGATGGGGGGTATGTGGAGGACCCCGATGAGGATTTGGAGATGGGCGAGGAGTGTGGCCAGCAGATCCAGGCGCTCTGGGGGGCCCAGGGGCAAGGTCTTGGCAAAGACTCCCTGGGCAAACTTCGGAAGATATGTTTGGCCGCAAGCGCGCGGAAGGGAGTCCAGAAGCCCCGCGTCAAGAAGGAGGGATGCGCAAGGGAGGGGCCCCCAGCAGCAGCAGCAGGCGCAGCGGCCTCGGGCGCAGCAGCCTCGGGAGCAGCAGCTGCAGCAGCCCCAGCTCCAGCGGCAGGGCAGGGAACCAGCCATCGAGGAGCTGATCCAGGAGGCGCTGGGGGGTTGGCCGCCGCCCCCTCAGCCCCGCGGCCGCGGGGGCAGCACCCAGCCGCTGCAGCCTCTCCTCCTCGCCACCCTCAACCTCAACTCTGGGCGCACTGGGTCAGAGTTGGTTTCAGAGGTGGCAGGAGACAGAGTGTGCATCCAGGAGCACAAGCTACTAGAAGGAAGTAAGTATGATGCAGTGGTCTCTACACTCTTAGCCAACGGCTGGAAGTATTGTGGGCCCCCTGCTACCAAATTAGATACTGGGTTTGCCTCAGGCGGGGTCTTCGCGCTGGCTGAGAGGCGCCTCGATATCTGGAACATGCCGCCATCGCCGTCGATCCTGGTTCCCGCCAGGCTGGTCAGATGCTTTCTCGGGACTTCTGCACTGGGCACGATAGCTTTTATTCTATGTACTTGTATGGCGGCGTGAAATTGGGACTTAAGAACATCAGGATATGGAAGGCTCTGGGGGAGGATATCCAGAGGCACAAGTTTCCGAGTATGGTAGGTGGGGATTTCAACATGAACCCTGCCTTACTCTCGGAGCACGTCCCACTCCACGACTTGGACTTGGTCATTCGAGCCCCCGAGGCCCACACATACCGCTCCAAGGATACCAGGACTAAGATCGACTTCTTCCTGGTTTCGGCCCTTCTCGACAGAGTGGCGCCGACCATCTCGGTCGACCTCAACGCGGCCTCGCACCCCCACTCGGCAGTCAACCTTACGTTGCAGAGAGCAATCAGCGGCGCATCCAACACGGTACCTGCGCCGTACCAGGTTGCCCCCTGCGAGGCAGCAGTTGGACCTCAACGTCAGGCCCCAGACTACCAAGATATTGCCGAGCCAATCGAGGCTTTTCTGGCATCTTGCACAGATGACTTGGGGGGCACCTGCACAGCGGAGGGGGAGCGCAGGCTCCAGGGATCGCACCTTCTGGCTGAATCCTACGGGGTCTGGGCTGCCAGAGCATGGAGCGAAATCTTGGAGGCCACTCAGACTGCCCCCAAAGGCCGTCAACCAGGGACCCCGATGGAATTCCAGTCCAAGCCTTTGTCGCAGCGACTGACCACCAAGCACTGCAGCAAGGCCGTTCCCCACAGAGCTATGACCTGGGTTGTCAATCGATGTGGGGAGTTGCGCAGCCTCATCGCAGAGAGCGACGGCCGGTTGTCCGCAGAGGGTTTCAACGCAGCCCACCACCTGTCGTTGTTGCCGCGTCGGGGGGGGCGGGGGGGGGGGGAAGGCGTTTCGCAGGTTTTGGAAGGAAGTGCAGGGCTTTTGGCATGCGACCCTAGGAAAGATAGGATCTTTCCTCAAGACGTCATCCAGAGAGGCCTCCCTCGACATCCTTGGTATGCTCGAGGCCATCTGCGCCATCATCCACGACGGGGGCCTTCCCAAGGAATCTACTTTCAGATACGAATCCTGGCAGTCTTGGTGCTACGAGGCTCTCGAGGGATCTGGAAGTCAAGCTTTTGCTTATCTCAAAGGTGGCGAGAGAGGAGAAGCCAGTGTCTACCCAGTGGACCAGGGTTTTTCATCCTCACTTACGGTTGAGATGGAGCATGAGTGGAGGAAGTGGAATGGAGAATGGGAAGGCAAGGAGGAGCATGGTGGAGAAGGCAGTTGATTGTCAATCAGGCTTCTACCCAGCACCTCCCCCTCCCCACAGTGGGCATGATCCCAGGGGCTTCGAAGGCGTTCAAGAGGAGGACGTGCACCCCTGACAGCTTCCACCCACGCCACTTCGACATCATCTCTGAATCTGGCCAGTGCGTTCTCTGCTTGCTGCTGCATCTTTCCCACGTGGTCAGCGTCTTGCCTCGTCAAGTCCGAGAACCCATTGTGCTTCTGGCCAGGAAGGTCAAGGGGCCAGGCAGGATACCCATAGGCCACTACTCAGCCTTCGCCAGAATGCAGGGCCAGTGCCTCTGCAAAGATGCGAGGGAGTGGGAGGATAATTGGGGGACGGGTGCACAGTGCAGCATGAGCAAGGGAAGGAGTGCATAAGATATTGCATGGCGTGCTGCAGTCAGAGCTGAAGGGAGGGTAGCAGACAAGATGCATGTGCTGACGATGCTATGGGACATCAAACAGTTCTACGAGAACCTAGATCACGACTTGCTCTATCGTGCTTCCCAGGCGTTGCAGTGCCCGCTCTATGCTATTCGTCTAGCGCTACACATGTACGCCATCCCGCGTAGGATCTTTCTGGACGGAGCCGTGGGCCCACGGATGTACCTTTCCAAGGGAATTGTCGCAGGCGCCAAAACGGCCACGACAGAGGCCAAGATGTATGCAATGCCCATGCTAGAGGACGTCTCCGCTGCAACGGAAGAGCAAGCATCGGCATCCATACACATCGACGACATCACCTCCAGTTCGTGGGCCTTTGGGCTAGAAGAATGCGTTCAGTATCTCTGGAAGTTTGGGTTGAAGCTAGAGGAGGGCCTTATTGCCCTTCACCTTCCCCTTGCCGTTGACAAGCTTGCTATCACAGCCAGCGCAGGCCCCCTGCTCAAGAGGGCCAAGGACATTTTGGGAACAGTTGCAGGGGCAGCAGCGCCGTCAGCTTCTCACCTGGGCATCGACTTCGCATCAGGAAAGCATAAGCGGCGCCTTGGGGCCAATGCGACAAGGAGAGCACGATGGGCCAAAACGCATTTGCGATTCTGTCGTCTTCGGGGCGTTAAAAGCAAGAAGCCGAAGGATAGGGCTCGTTTCTTTGTTCCTGGAGTTCAGTCAGCTCACTCGCACGGTGGGAAGGTCCACGGTTACACGCCCGCTGAGATATATAGGCTACGCTCTATGAGGGGGATCGTTTCAGGACGCCAGCTTAGAGGAGCAAGGACCGACACATGGTGGGAAGCACACGAGGTGGCAGGTCCTCTTAGTCTAGCATCCAGCACTTTGGAAAGATATTGTACGGAGTGGCGGAGGGCGACGTCAGGTAGAGCAGAGCTTGGCATGCATGCAGATGGGCTAGATGCTAAGGAACTCAGGGCCCTCTTTGTGACTGTGCAAACCAAGTTCCAGGACCCAGGGGATAATTCGTGGTTAGTACGATCGGCAGGACCCATTTCAGACATGCTGCGTTGGGTTCAGAGGGCTGGCTGGCACTTCGACAACCCGACTACCATCCAGCCCAGAGCGGGGGCAGCATCAATATCCGGGAGATTCCGCCAGTTTCGATTGCCAAGCAGTTCACTGAGGGCCTCAAACAACAACAGTCTAGCCAGGCTGCAGGCATCGAACTGAGTGCTCTCCCTCGCCCCCCTCCAATGCCAGTCGGACAGGAAGGGGGTGTGGACTGGGCCCAGGTCCGCAGGGGGCTTAGGCACGTGCGAAAGCAGATCACCCCCGACGAGTACACCAACCTTAGGCACTACATTTGCGGCTCCCTTATCACAGGTAAGGTTCTGTCAGGCTGGGGTTGCGACCTACAACCGTCTTGTCCTTACTGTTTGGAGGTGGATACACAGTGCCACAGGCTATGGACGCGCCCCTTCGGGAAAGAGTTCAGGGAAGAAGTCATGGGCTCTGATGGCATCGAAGGGGCTTCAGAAGAGTCGGGTTTCTATTTGCACCTCTGGCCTCCCAGAATACAGCTCGAACCACTGCTGGAAGAATGGGATACTCTGTATGTAGATGCCAATGGGCCTTGCGACCCCTTCGAGTTCGAACCCTACAGCGAAATCTTTGCGGGTGCTTCGTGCTTTGACCCCGAAATTCGCCACCTTGCCCGTGCAGGTTCGTCCGCAGTAGAATTGAACGGGGACCACTCACTCAAGCGGGCGATCTTTGGGGGCCTGCCGTCTTTCGGGGAGCAGACCGCAGTCGACGGGGAGCACGGGGGGCTACTCATGGCAGCACTGCACTCCAAAGCAGCCTCCACGCACACTTTCATTGTAGATTGCGCGGCCCTTATCCGCAAACCAATCACATCCTTTATTGACGGCAGATCTCCATTCTCCAGGGTCTGGAGGCACATCAGCCGTGCGCTCCCTGGGGGCGAATGGTTGCACTTAGTCAAGACTAAGAGCCACAGGAAGGAGTCGGAGGCTGTCAACGAGCTAGACAGGAGGTACATATTAGGCAACATGGCAGCATATCACTATGCAGGGCAAGGGGCGCGCAGCCATCGCCCAGCACCTGCAGTGGTTGAAGAACGCGCTGCAGCCCACGATCTTTACTTGTCTGTTTTGGTTGGGGCTGGTAAGATCCTGGGGTCCTGGCCGAAGTCCGAGGAGCTTTGGGGAGAGATGCAGAAGCTGCCCAAGGAGCCTAGACCTTCACCGCCAAGACCGTCTGCCGAGCTACACCAGCCAGTCTGGGATGGGCAGAGATATCGGCGCCGTAGCTGCTTAAGGATCGTCTCTCCCAAGTCGAAGTTTGACTGCCAGGCCATGTCACCAGCCATGGGGGAGGTGATCAAGCAGCATAGGAGGCGTCACCACTCACTGTATGTAGGCTGGCTGGACTCAGGGCTTCCTGTTATCTTCTGCAATCGCTGTGGAGGTTTCAGTACGCATCGAGGTTCGAAGAAGCTTACTGACCCCAGGGGTTGTACTAGGAAGACAAGCAGTGAGCTCAGGAAGCTTAGGAAAGGCACGCTCCCAGGTTCAAGTGCCAAGATTCGCAGGATCTTGCCCTTTAACATACCTGGATATTATATAGTGCACTAGTGAGAAGGAGAGGGAGTGCAGCAGTTCAGGGGGGCTGTGGGGGAGAGCGCACTCCGTCTTTCTCGCACCCTAGGGGAGGCCTCCAGGTGGAAGGGCCCATGCACCAGAGTGCTGGGGTCACGGCGCAGGGCTGCCGTGGCATAGCATGCTCCTTCGGCTTGGAGGTCCTTCCCTAGTCCGCCTCTCTGCACCCATGCCTATGCCCATTCTTCCTCAGCCTCGGGCCCGGCATCCCGCCAGCTCTTGTGCGCGCGCCGTCTCTGCCGTCCCTGCCGCCGCTATAGTGAAGGGCAAGCAGGGGCCGTGCCAGGTGTGCGCCACCGAGGGCTGCCGTGGCTGGATCTTCCTCTCGAGGTTCGAGGAGGTGGACGAGGACATGCTGGCGTGCAAGCACCGCGGGAACACGTTCGACCCGCCGCAGGAGGCGCTGGGGGCCATCAGGGAGGCCCGCGCCGCCCGTGCTGCCGCCGTCCTCCACCCCGTCCCCGCCGGGGTTCTTCCCGGGCCTGTTGTGCCAGGGCTCGTGAGGCCTGCCGCTCCCAAGGCCTCGGCCAAGCGTGAGCTGCCGCTGTCGGCCAAAGGGTCGGCACCGCCTCCGCTCCCTGACCCCAATCTCTCGGGCCCTCCAGTACCTTTTCCCCCCGCTCTGCCCCGCGGCCAGGAGCTGTCCATCCAGGCCCTGGAACCTCAGGGACTGGAGGCGCCCCCAGAAGGGCCGCCCCCCAGTCGAGGCTCCGCGGCAGGGCAAGGGGACGGCAAAGGCCTCCTCCTGGAGGCCGCCTTTGCCCATGGCGCCGCCGCCGGCCAGGCTGCTGGCGGCCGAGGGCAAGGGCCGCGGCAAGGTCCGCGGCATGGCGAAGCGCCCGCGGCACTCCCAGAGCACGGCTGCGTCGCGGCTGCGCATTCGGGTGGCCCTCTTGAAGGCGGCGAACCGCACCCTGAAGAGGCGGGGGCGCCACTTCAGGGAGAGGGCCGCCTATGCGTGGAAGGAAGTCCGCTGGGCCCACGGCCACGTTCAGAGGAGGGAGGAGAGGAGGGCCAAGGGGGCCCCCTCTTCGTCCGACTCTGACGTGGGGTAGGCTGCTGCAGGGATCTGTCAGAGGACAGTCAGCAGCATCGGATAACAGCATGATAATAGTTTCGTATAAGAGCAGCACAAACGGCTTCCTCTCCAAGTTCACATCCCACCCTGTCCTGGGCCTGGGACCAGCCTGGGCAGGGCTTGGGTTGGGGCTTCGGCGTCGCTTACTTTCCTCTTTCCCTCTTTCCCCCCTCTGCCTCGGCCTTCCTTCTTCTTCGTAAGCGTCGCCTTAGCCTCCGTTGTAAAAGATGTTGTCGCTCTCTGCTCCTAGAGTGGACATGTGGCACATCAGTGCATCATCGCATCAGAGGCGGAGGCGGAGGCGGAGGCGGAGGAGGAGGAGGAGGCGGAGGAGGAGGAGGAGGAGGGAGGGAGGAGGAGGAGGAGGAGGAGGGGAGGCGGAGGCGGAGGCGGAGGCGGAGGCGGAGGCGGAGGCGGAGGAGGCGGAGGAGGAGGAGGAGGAGGAGGAGGAGGAGGAGGAGGAGGAGGGGGGGGGGGGGGGCAGAATGGGTCCGGGGGCCCCCAGGCGTGAGATAAGCGCAGACATGGACTCAGGCGCGTGGGCTGGCGACGGGTCACGCGTCCGGGCGACATCGGCGAGCTGCGCCGCCCGAGTAGACGGCACGGGTCTCATGCTGGAACCCATGGATTTGGCGCGCGCGCCAGATCTACGGTCCCCTGATCCATCTTTTCAACGTGCGGACCACTCAGATCCCCTCGAGTCGTGAAACAAACACGACTGGAGGTTTTTTGTTATTTTCGGCCTCTGGGGGGCCCTCCGGTGCTTCGGGGCCGTCAAAAACGTCTCGGGAGGAGAAGCCGGTTACGTGGAATGGGTCTAGACTTCTGGCGGTCGGCTTCATGAACAAATCATGACGTCGGGGGTCTGGGCACGGTCGGCCGCGATCACAAGCTACCGGCTCGTTTCTGGACCCGTCAGCATCAGGTCGCGAGCAAGAGTGGGTGGATCACCTACAGCGCCAGCCCCGCCGGCCGCCGACGCGTCGAGATGCAGATCGCCAGTTGCAAGTTGGGCGCGTTGCCGTCCTCGGCAGGTCTTCTGACGAGGACAGCTGTTTCCTGCGGCAGGTGGCGGCCTCTTCCCCGTCGTCAGCCCACAGTCAGGCCGATGACATTCACCGTGTGGTGACCTCACCGTGTTTCGGATGCAACTCCTGGGAGGTCAAATTCTCGCTTCGCCCTGGTCCGAAATCTGGTTCAGTTCAGCTCCATCCAGCTCAATCCCGTTCAATCACGCTGAATCCAGCTTCATCCGCGGCCCGATCCGGCGTAGCAGCCCCCCAATGGGGCCCAATCCTCCTTCCTCCTGCCGACGAAGACCTGCCAGTACAGTCGGGCCGCTGAAGAAGGAACCCTTTTCGCTTGGGAAGGGCTCCGGGTTCCTTGGTTGTTTTGCAGTGCTCCTCGGGTTTCGTGTGGTCTCCCATGGAACACCGGAGTTTGACCTATGGTGAAAAAGGGGCCTATTCCTTGATTATCGTTCCTTAGGTCAACGCCCCGACTGCAGTTGCCTCCCAGTACAGGGGGGGGGTCTCGGCAGAGGGGGGGTCTTTGTCAAAACGAGAGGCAACGATAAGGGAACGCTTCCAAAAAGGGGTTCGGCCGTTCCTTACATATTTATTATTTGATCACATGAAAAAGGGGCTTCGTTCCTTGTTTTGCGTTCCTTCTGGCAGGGGCCTGACTGTAGTGAGGAGGAAAAAGAAACAAACAGACACAATGAAGAGTCGATTCCCCAGAAAATATGGGAAAATATGGGAATTGGGGGGGGAAGACGAAAACCCAGAACACATGGGAACATATAGGGGAATCTTGTTGTCTGTGTACATTTACTTGTGTGTCCCAGGGCCCCTTCATGCAGCCTTGGGCGTTGACCAGACAGCCCTGCCCTGTTTGATTCCTTCTTTGGGTGCGCTTGCGAAACGGCTTCGCGTGTCGGGGTGGCTATTATGGGGGTGGATTTTCTGTCCTTCATGACTGCAGCTGCCCCCCGACCCTGCGCGTGCCCTCGCCGTGCGCGTTGGCGCCCGACGAGCGCCGCGGCGGCCTCGCCGCGCGCCGCGGGCCCGCGGGGGGGCCTCTCGGGGCCGCCCCGCGGCGCAGCCCCTCGGGGCGCCTCGGGGCGCCGGCCTCCGGCCGAGGCGCCGCCGGGGCGACGCGCGGCGGGCCTCCACAGCTCAGGAGGGAAAACATTACCCCAGTGCGACCCTACCTGGAAGTTGGAGCCCCTTAGGAAAGCAGCATTAGTTGCTATGTTATGCTATGCCATGCCATGCTATGCTGCGCTATGCTATGTTATGCTATGCTACGCTATGCTATGCTAAGCTATGCTATGCTATGCTATGCTATGCTATGTAATGCTGCGCTGTGCTATGCTAAGCTATGGTATGTTATGATATGATATGCTAAGCTGCGCTATGCTATGCTATGCTATGCTATGCTATGCTATGCTGCGCTATGCTATGTCATGCTATGCTATGCTATGCTTGGCTATGTCATGCTACGCTATGCTAATGCAGCGCTGCGCTATGCTAAGCTAAGCTAAGCTAAGCTAACCCTCTAGGCAGAGCCTAGGTGGGGGAACCGCCCGGGCCGGTTCCCACTGCCCGGCCCTTTAAGCCAAGAGAGTAAGAACTTTTCTAGGCAGAGCCTAGGTAGGGAAAACACACACAGACACAATTGATCGTCGATTCCCCAGAAACGGGGGAAAAAATATGGGAAGGTGGGGGGGGGGGGGGAAATATGGGAAGGGGGGGAAATATGGGAAGGGGAGGCCGAGGCGCCGCTGGGGCGACTCCATGAGGCCTCCACTCGGGGTAGGCAAAGAGGGGGGTGATGACTACGGGGGGGTGGATATCATGGCGTGGGCCAGGATGTTGCCCCAGATTTTATGGCGCCTCCTCTTGTCTCATGACTCGGGCCGGACGAAAGGGGGGGATTGGGAAAGAGGGGGTTACGAAATTTGCTGCATGCAGCTGGTTTCGGTCCCACCGAGGGGCCCATTCCTCGATACATAGCCGCCTCCGGCGCCGGGAGGCGCCGGGAAAATCAGCTACGTGAGCTGATTCTCAAACCCCCCCTTTGCTATCCCCCCTTTCGCCCGACCCGAATGACGCCCCCAGCCCCCCCCACCCCGGGGCCGCGCACATGCCGCCGGTCATAATTTGCACCCCCCCCTCTTGGACGCCCATCTCCTGGCCGCCCCCGATCAGGAGGGGAAAAAACACAAACACAATTGATCGTCGATTCCCCCGAAAATGTGGGAAGATATGGGAAGTGGGGGGGAAGACGAAAGCCCAGAAGATATGAGAAGATATGGGGAGTCCTGTTGTTTGTATGCATTTATTTGTGTGTCCCAGGGCCCCTTCAACAGAGGGCGGCCGCGGCGGGCGGTGCGGTGCGGTCAGTGTCCGGCAGCCTCGAGTCTCGAGGCCTCCCAGAGGGGGTCGGAGTAGATGGGGTCGGGGGATCGCGCCGCATCGCCGACGCAGCGGGGGATGCAATTCGATGCGGAGCCCGACTTTCTCCACGCTGGCGTCGCCGACGCATCGTCGATCCTCCGCCCCCATCTATAGACCTTCATTTGGGAGGCCTCTAGGGGAGCAGTGCGTTTATCCAGGGGCGCCGATGCTCCATGTCTTCAGCGGGGTCCCCCCTCGACTGCGTGCAAACGTCTCCGGGCTACTCGCCCCTGCCGTCGCCTCCGGCCTGCGGCCGAGAGGCAGAACGGCTCCGCGAGCAAGCCGCCAGCTGCCGAGTCCTCCAGCAGCGCGGCGCGGGGCTCGGCCGTCGAAGTGGAGCTCGGCTCCGAGGACAAGCAGGCGGGCCCCCAGGCCCGCCTCGGGCTCTCCTCTGCTCCAGGCCTCCCGACTTGGAGTCCGAGCAGATGGGGTCGAAAGATTGCGCTCGACGGTTGTTTGTATAACATAGAAGTATTTTGAGTATGTTTGACTTTGCGTCCAAAATCCGTTTGTAGGTGGACATGCCCGACCTAAGCCCATGTTGTCGTTTGGTCCTCCATGCTGCGAGAGCGCCAGCGCGCCCGACGTGTGCTTCGCGCCCTGAGCGGCTCTTGTCTCCTTCCCTCGCCTCCCCTCCCGATGTTCTCCACGCCGATGGCCCGAGGTTCTCCACGCCGATGGCGCCGATGCGGCGCGATCCTCCAGCCCCATCACATCGGACCCCATCAGGGAGGCTTCTTTCTGTGCTTCGCGCCTCCCTCTGGAAGACGGTGCGCCCATGGCGTCCACGGCGGCGTCACGGCAGAGGCGGGATCGTCAGCAAAGGCGCCTTTGAGGGCGCGAAGTTATTCGCGCTTCGCGGTACGGCTCCGATTCCTCCCCATCCTCCTCTTCTCCTTTGGGAGGCAGCGCGAGAGCGCGAAGTTATTCGCACTTCGCGCTTCGCTCAGCGCGAAGCGCGAAGTTGGGAGCCCTTGGTCAGGGGCAACGTGAGGGGGAAATAGCATTACAGGGTTAAGTCGGGCCCGTCCCTCTACAGGATGAATATTTTAAAATAGTAAGCAAATAGTCTGGGGACTATGTTTTGAGCATGTCGTGGCCGTTTTGGACAGTATTTTTGGGTATTCTTTATTTCGTCCAAGATCCCCCTGTAGGGGGACAGGGCCGACTTAACATTAGGGTGTAATGCGCCGACCCCCAAGCGCCCACGGGTCGCCGATAGTGGCCGTGGGTTTGGCTATCGGGGTCCCAGTGCCGAATTTCAGGAGGGAAAAACACACAGACACAATCAATCGTCGATTCCCCAGAAAAGATGTGAAAATATGGGGAGTGTCCCGGGGCCCCTTCAGAGTTGGCGGCGACGTAATTCGTCAGCACCGATTCCACGTCGACGTTTCCCCTCCCCCCCCCCCTGGAGCTGGTTCTCCCCCGACGCCGCTCTTGGGGAGGGTGGGCAGACCTCCTACCCTGACACGTCGATTAAGGAATTGGCCGTTTTCGGTTCGTCAGGGGGCGTCGCGGCCGTCGTTTTTGCGGGTCCAGGCCCGTCGGTTTCGGTCCCAGGCCGTTTTCATTAAGGGGAGGTCTACTAAAACGAGGTTTGTCACGTGCGTTGGAGGAGGAGGAGGAGGAGGAGGAGGAGGACGCGTGTAAGGGGGAGCGGGGGGGCAAGCGGAATTCAGGGGGCCCGGGGCCCGGAGTTCAGAGTTTGCTATCGATGTTCTATTCGCCATTTCTCTTGCATGCGCGTTTTCTTGCCGTACTGTTTCACGCCCTCCGTCTCCGCTTGCGGAGCGAGCGGCAAGGCCCCTCGACCGGCCCGACCTGACCTGACCCGACCCAGAGTCTTGTTGGATCACGTAGCCCCTCGGATCTGGGCGCGACGGGAGAAGGCGGTGGGCCCCTCTTGCCTCGCTCGGGGCCCCGACGCATCGATCGGGTTCGAAGCGCGCCGCCTGACTTTTTTCACGACGTTTTTTCCCACGAAGTTTTCTCCCACGACGTTTTTTCCCACGACGATGGCCATGGATGGTCATGACTTCTCGCGACGTTGTTGTCCCCACGACGCCAGGGCTGGGGACTCTCGTCCGTGCTCGCTCCTCGCCGCCGCTGCCTCTTCGCCTGGCCCTCCTGCTCCCCTCGAGCCTCCCCCGAGGGGGGCCCTCTTGCTGCTCCTCTTTCAGGAGGGAAAAGCACAGAGACGCAATTCATCGTCGATTCCCCAGAAAATATGGGAAAATGTGGGAAGTGGGAAGGGAGACGAAAACCCGGAAAAGATGTGAAAATATGGGGAATACTTTTATTGAATCGCTTCGCTCATTCCGCCGGCCCGTATTGTGCCATCGCGGGGTCTTGGGAGGTCTTGGGAGCCTTTGGAAGCTTCGTGGGAGCTTCTTGGGAACTTTGGGAGGCCTCGTGGATGGCTCTGGGTGGGCTCTCTTGGTGGTCTCTTGGGGGGATCTGCCTGGCCTCTTGGGGGCCTCCTGGGAGCTTCCTGGGGGTCTCTTGGGGGCCTCTTGGGGCTTTCTTGCGGCCTGTTGGGGGCCTCTTGGGGCTCTCTTGGGGGCTTCGTGGGGCTACTTGGGGGCTTGTAGGGGCATTTCGGGGGCGTGTTTGGGCGGGAGGCTCAAAATTTCCGTTCAGGTTGCCCCTGTGGACCTCAATCATGGGGCCGTCTTGGGGCCTCTTGGACCGTCTTGAGGGTTTCTTGGGCCTTCTTGGAGCGCTCTTGGGCCGTCTTTGAGCGGTCTAGAAAGTCTCTCGGGCCGTCTTGGGGTGATCTTGGGGGCCTCTTGGACCGCCTTGAAAGGTGTGAGAGACGAAGAGGCGGATATGTTAAAAATGCACGCTTTCCCAAGGGAATGAGACGATTTTTGCTTGTGGGAGCCCTCTTGGGACGCCGCTTAGGGACCTCTTGGGGCGTCTTGAAGGCCTGTTGGGCCGTCTTGAGGCCATCGTAGGCGCTTGGGGGTGATATTTCGGCGTCTCCCGGCTCTCTTGGACCGTCTGGAGGGCTTCTCGGGCCCCTCTTGGACCGATTTGGAGCCCTCCTGGGCTCCGAAAAAAGAGTTCTTGAGGGTTTCTTGGGCCTTCTTGGAGCGCTCTTGGGCCGTCTTTGAGCGGTCTAGAGGGTCTCTCGGGCCGTCTTGGGGTGATCTTGGGGGCCTCTTGGACCGCCTTGAAAGGTGTGAAAGACGAAGAGGCGGATATGTTAAAAATGCACGTTTTCCGAAGGGAATGAGACGATTTTTGCTTGTGGGAGCCCTCTTGGGACGCCGCTTAGGGCTTAGGGACCTCTTGGGGCGTCTTGAAGGCCTGTTGGGCCGTCTTGAGGCCATCGTAGGCGTTTGGGAGTGATATTTCGGCGTCTCCCGGCTCTCTTGGACCGTCTGGAGGGCTTCTCGGGCCCCTCTTGGACCGATTTGGAGCCCTCCTGGGCTCCGAAAAAGAGTTCTTGAGTTTCTTGGGCCTTCTTGGAGCGCTCTTGGGCCGTCTTTGAGCGATCTTGAGGGTCTCTCGGGCCGTCTTGGGGTGATCTTGGGGGCCTCTTGGACCGCCTTGAAAGGTGTGAAAGACGAAGAGGCGGATATGTAAAAAATGCACGTTTTCCTAAGGGAATGGGACGATTTTTGCTAGTGGGAGCCCTCTTGGGGCGCCGCTTAGGGACGTCTTGGGGCGTCTTGAAGGCCTGTTGGGCCGTCTTGAGGCCATCGCAGGTGTTTGGGAGTGGTATTTCGGCGTCTCCCGGCTCTCTTGGACCGTCTGGAGGGCTTCTCGGGCCCCTCTTGGACCGTTTGGAGCCCTCCTGGGCTCCGAAAAGGGACCTTGCCGGGACCTTGCCGGGGTATTTTTCGTCCGGGGACCCCCAGGGCCCGCCCCGCGCGCGCGAACTAGAAATATTGTTGAGCAGTTACCGGAGATCTTAGCACGCCTCTGGCCCGTTGGGCCGGCGAATTTGTGTGTATTTATTTTTCGTGTCCTTGGGCCCCTTCATTCTTGCTGTTCCTCCTCCTGGTCCTTTTGCCGCCACAGCTGCCTGCCGCCACAGCTGCCGCCACAGCTCCTGCTCTTCATCCACGTCGCCGCTCCCCAGCCCCTCGCCCTCCTCGTCTCACCGCCTACCAAACCACCCCAACCCAACCCGAAGGCCTCAACTTGCCCTCCATTTCCAGTGGGGGGGGCCAGGGAACATTGAAAAAACACATGGAACCCGTTCCCCCCCCCCAACCCGAAATTCGGGTCAAATTCGGGTCTTCGGGTTGGGTTGTGGTGGTCTGGTAGGTAGTCATCATCCTCGTCGCTCCTTTTGCCCCTCCTCGTGTTCGCTGTGCGTGGCCAGTTTCTCGGCAGGCCGTTTCCGGCATGCCGCGTCTGTCTGGTATCGGGAAAACTTGTGCAATATCTGCTGCTGTCATCCCCTGGACTCTGGCCCACCTGCCGCATTCTGAGGGCGCGGGTGGCTGGGCGGAGGGGCGGGGGCCAGGGCTGGAGCTGGATGCTCTCCAGGACCCGTTCTGTCCTGTCCCCCCGCCAACTTCCTTTCTCCCCTTCCTGCTTCCACTCCCTTCTTCCCTTTCCCCCCTTCCACCTTTCTACTTTCCCGTTTCTTCTCCTCCCTCTGTTTTCCCCCCTGCACCCCTTTCCCCCTCCCCTTTCTGCCTTGCCCGATCCATCCCTGTTTTCCTTCACCCTTTCTTCTCCCTTCCCCAATCCGCCTTCGCCCGTCCCTTCCCCCCTCCAGGTCCCCGTTCCCCGTATCCCGTTTCCCGTTCTCCATTCCTTCCTTCCCTTTTTCTTTGTTTCGTCTTTCCGATGCCCTATTTCCTTCGCTTCGGTACACATCGCAACTCTTACAAAGTTGGCTGGAGCTGCACTCTTCTGTACCTACCCCAGCAGCATAGTTATTCACCTTCTCGTGTACTGCAACCTCTGCTTGTAGAACAGCAGCTTCCCCAACAAGTTGGTGGCACGGATTATGCGGTTCAAGGATGGTGCGCCCCTCTGCTCACAAAACTCCGACCACGACAGGAGCGGCTGCAAAATCCGCAGATGTTTCTTCCTCAGTGAGCTTGTATCACCAAATGCGCCCGCTGGGGGTCTGTGGTGGTTTCCAGGTGTTTCCTCATGGTGGTTCAGTGTACTATGCCAAACCATTTACCGTTTTGTTTGTTATGTTTGCGTGACGCCCAGATCAGTGGATCGTTTGATATATTGGGCGAGGCCCATCCAGGCGCATGTACGTTGCAGAACCCTTTGTCATCCTCTTCAAGATGAGCGCGTCTCGAATATCTTGTAGCACTGCCCGTCCGCATAACACAATCAACGTCTCTTGATCACATATGAAGCTGAAGGGTCTACAGCGATCGACCCATCTGAAAAATCACGCTGGCGTCTGTTGCAGATCGCTCGCCCATGGTTCAGGCCATGAGAACGTCAGCTGCTTCTTTCTGATTGCTCTGTGCCCGCTTGCTCCTCCCTTCTGCGGCCGCGCGCCCGGGCTCCTGTCGGCGGACTTACACATGTAAGTCGTCGTCTTTACCAACCTGCACGACAAAGTCAGCGACCTCTTGGGCCCAGTCTGCGTGGCTCATGGCGCTGCGTGTGCTTCACAAAAATATGCCATGAACCCTCACCAAACAACGTCGCCCAATTGGATCTTTTACCTCCTCCTTGTCCCGTCCGCTGTCCCCTTTAATGCGATCAGGCGATTAAGAAATGCCTAGGGGAGGTCGCAGAATTCCACCGGGAAGTGGAGGACCAGAAGGATATTCCTGGCTCGTCATCGTCGTCGCCGTCGAGGCCGCCAGTTAGCAGCCAGAGACACAGACGAGAAAATTAAGCTTGAACGTAGTCTAACCGTTTGGTTAACCTTACCCTTCCCCTGACGTCCCGTCCCTCTTCTCTCCCCCTTTTCTCCCCCAGCGTAGGTCGAAGACCTGGACGCCGTGGCCGTCGTCGAGCTGGAGCGACACGCGTGCGTGCGAATTTTGCTCGCGCGCGCTCTCTCTCTCTCTCTTTCTCTCTCTCTCCCTCTCTTTCTCTTTCTCTTTCTCTCCTTCTCTTTGTGTAACGTCCACGCCTGGTTTCAGGCGTTGAGAAGGAAGAAGAGGCGGAGGAATCATAAGTCAGGAGGACTGGGGATAACCCCCTGCCCCCGATGATGAAGTATACCCCCCCTAACCTCTGAATATGTATTATCCCGTGCCAATAGGATTTGATTGTGGAGAGGGGCGACGCGATCGAACTTAATAATCCCCGGGGGAAGTTGCGAATCGAAGTTGCTATCATCTTCTGTCGACAAGCAACAGCATCAAAAAATGCTGAGCATGGCAATGGTGGTCTCACCATTTCAGCTTCCGCAGGCACGAGCGTGTGGCAGGGCTGTGGGATTCTCACAGTTTCAGTTTTCCCCAGTCACGAACGTGCGGCAGGGCCACGGGATTCTCACTTTCTCAGCCGATCCCGAGTCAGGAACGTGTGGCAGGGCCAGGGGGACCGATTGGATTTTGAAATTACATGCGTTTTCGAGCAGGCAGAGCATGGGAGTTACTTTTTTTAGCGCATCCCTCACACGGGTCGTGGCCCCTCCTTCTCCTCTTCCTCCCCCCCGCAATTGCCCGGGTGTGCACGAACGCCCAGACTCGAGATCTGTCGAGTCAGTTTTGTGCCAAGATTTACAAGGTCAGAGTACACGAGCGCCCAGACTCGAGATCAGTCGAGTCAGCTTTGTGTCAAGATCTACAAGGTCAGCCCATGATCATCATCACCATCATCCGCCGGGAAAATTGTTGATTATCCCCGCCATGCCCCGAATTTTATTATCCCCTGGGAATTTGTATCAGGGGCAGTGGGTTAGGAGGAGGCGGCGGAGGAGGAGGAGGATTTGGAATAAGAGAAGAAGAGAGGATATGAAGGAGGACAACAAGGAAGAAGGGATGAGCATCGAGGATTAGGATATCAAGGAGGAGGAGGAGGAGAAACACGAGGAGGATCCTTGTTTCAATTAAACGTTGCATCCACCATCTGGCTCCTCAGTGTGTGTTGGTGGTCGGAACAATGGTGGTTGCTGCGCAAGGTGTGCCACCCCTGCGTTTCTGCATGTTGATTCAGTCGACAGGACAGAGGTCGCATGTCTATTTGGAAGCGCCCTGAGAGATACGTTCAGTTGCTGCTCGTACACGCCAGCATATGCATGCGAACCCAAACGCTTGATCGTACGATTCGCACGCTGACAGACAAGTGACAGGAAACCCTCATCCAACCCAACCTGATGGTTACGAAAAGGTTTGGCGAGGGTCCTCTACCTTTAGGACTCCCCTGACCAGATTTGGATTCCCCGCCGTCTCTGCTCACACTCCTTTAATTGTCAGCCGATCGCCGGCGCGCGATGGCGTTTCTTGCGCTGGGGAAGACGCTTTGAGAAGATGACTACGGGGGAAGCGCAGAGCGTGCTCGACTCGGGCGCGTATAGCGAGCCCGAACAGGGAACCCAGGGAGGGTCGGAGCCTTCTGATGAATTCACCTAGGGGTCGTGGGAGGTTTGGATGGGGGCATCAAAAGCGCAGATGACGGTACCCGGGGGGGGAATACGGGGAAAATTTAAGTCGCCTGGAGACCCGCAAGGGGCCGGCGGATTGGACACGCGGGATGTGTTCCGTCAGGGCTTTCGCGGAAAATTCAGCCGCTCAGCACGTGACGTTCCGGACGTGGATCTGACGCCCACGCGCCAGATCCACGGATCCGTACTCCATATCAGCATGCACCCGACTCTCGAGGCTTGGCCCTGTCCACAAGCAGAGTAGGAAATGACGCCCGGTGCGGTACCCTTAAGCCCACCGAGCTTGCCGCAGCGAGCCGCGCACGCGGCCGCGCGGCGCGCGCGCAGCTGGACGACGACAAGGCGAGGCGGACCAGCGGCGGTTTGGACCGACGAAGGCCCCGCGCGCGCGGGGAAGGCCCTGCGGGCAGCGACTTCCTGCTGATTTCGAGCTCTGCGGCGCGCAGAAGCTGATCTCCGACGATCTGTTTCTGTTGAGTCCCATCGTTTTTCCTTCCTTTCGGCCTCGGCAGCGGGCTTGGACCTTTGGCCGCGTACTGAAAAATTTGGGATGCAACTCCTGGGAGGTCAAATTCTGATTTTGCACTGGCCCGACGTCCGGTTTGATCCCGCTCAATCCCGCCTAATCCCGCCTAATCCAGTTTAATCCCGCTTAATCCGAGGCCCACTCTTGCGTAATAGCTCCCAAATGGGGCTTAATCTTCCTTAATCTTTCCGACGAAAACCTCCCAGCAGTTGCTCCCTAAGAAAAAATGAGACCGTCGGATGTCTGGGAAGGCGTCGACGTCATGTTCTCGTGCGTTTTTTATTGTTGGGGGGGGGGGGTCGCCGCCACGGCTGGAAGCGGCTCGGGCACACTGCCAGGACGGACGCTGGGAGGGTCCATGGACCCGCTCTGGGCGTATTTTGATCGGCGCGGGGCGAGGGGGCGGCATCCCGAGGAGGCTGGGAGCTTCTGTGAGTCTTAGGAAGCACCCCTGCCTTCTGGGGTGCTTTCTCTCGAGGGAAGAGGCACGCCGATCATGGGCACTCTGTCGCGGGATCTTGTCGGCGCCGATCTTGGCCATGGACCATGCCAACCGTGACCGATTCGCGATGAGGATCCACGAATCGACGCTGACCAAGATCGACAGGGACCGAGACCGGCACCGACGTTTCCGCGCTCAGTCTTGGCCATTGTCCCCGTTTTCTTCTCCACTTTGGGAGCCTCCCATCTGCTCTGAGAAGCCCTTGCCTTGTTGGAAACCCACCAGCATACAGTCGGCCCGGATTAGTAGGTCGACCCTGCCGAATGAAGGGTACTCTTGTGTCCTGTGTCTCGCGGCCCATGCCTCCGACACTTCTGTGGCAATGTGGCCCTCGAAAGGGTCTTGTGTCCTCTCGCGTGTCCTGTCCAACCAAGTCCGACTGTAGCCAGAAACGCTATCGGCCGCCGCCTGCCGAGGAGACGCCCACCTGTCCCGCTCGGTCGGAGGGCCTCGGGAACGCCAGGATGCTGTCGGGAGTTCCCAGAGGCTTACGGACCCCAAGGCTCGGAGGCGACGATATGGGCGCATAGCCCAGGGGCGGGCACTACGGTCGGATCGAGGTATAAGATCGAGGTCAGTTCGGAGAGGGTACCCTAGTCTTCTTCGTGTTTGTTGGGCGTTGTTGTGCATCATGGGAAGGGTACCCTCGGATGTTCTGTGTGTTTTGGCCGACGGAGGGTCTCATGTTCTTGAGCGATGCTCTTCTGGCCTGGGCCCGACTGCACATGCATCCGCCCGGGAGCCTCGCCGAAGACATGGACCATCGGCGCGACTGGACACATGTGTTGCCCTCCTGAGGAGGCCCATGCGAAAAATGCCCCCCCCCCACCCCACCCCACCCCCCAAGTGTAATTCGAACAGAAACAAGGCCGAAATCCAGCTGACCCCACGCGTGCTCTCGTACATCTTTGCGCGCGTTGTTCTTTTTTCCATGCGGCCGCTTGGAGTGCGCGGTTAGCGTGCCTATGGCGCGGCAGTCTCTCGCGCGTTCCTGTGGCAGGCTGGCGCAGCCAGCGATGGCGCTGCAGCGAACGGCGCCCCCTGGAGTTAAGTCGGGCCTGTCCCCCTACAGGGGGATTGTCGACGAACAAAATATAAATACACCAAACATAGTCCCAAGATAGTCTAACAATTCTTGGGGTAGTCCAAAAATAGTCCCAAAAATAGTCAACAAATAATCCAAAAATAGTCCCAAAATAGGCAAACATACATTTAAAATAGTGCATGTTGGGTGTATTGTTTAATTTTTCGTCGAAAATCCCCTTGTATGGGGGACACGCCCGACATAACCCTGGAGGCGCCCTCCCGAGCGGGAGGCGGCGGGGGAGGCGAGGCGGCGCCGCAGGCGGTCCGCGCCCGCCCGAGCACGAGCTCGGCGCGGCGGGCCCCGCCGCAGGGGAACCTCGCGTGGGCCCGCTGCCCGCCGCCCGCCCCCGGGCTTTGCTTCGGGGGAAAAAAACACAGTCAGTATGGGAAACAAACACACACACACACAAAACAACACACAGGGAAAACACACACACACAAACAAAAAAAAAACACAATGTGGGAACAAAAACACACAGTGTGTGCTTTTTCTGTGTTTGTGTTTTTTGTCACAGTGTATGTTTTTTTCCGACAGAACCCGTGGACAGAACCCCCAACAGTTTTTGGTCGGCGGGTCGGGAGCGGGCCCCTTCCGGTCAAGAGCTAAACGGGACGCGGGTAGTCCTAATTGGGGGGACAGGGCGCGGGCGGGCGGGGCCTCAGGCGGCCGGAGGGCTCAGAAAACAGGCGGTGTCGAAAATCTTGCACAGGACAAGGTACGCCATGGACTGGAGCAGGGGGCGCGGTCCCACAGGGAAAGTGGATTGGTGTTGCCGTCATCGGTGCGCCAAGAACACCATCCTCCACAGAACCCCCGACAGTGACACGTCGATTAGTGAATTGTTCGTTTTCGGTTCTCGAGAGGGCGCCGTGGCCGTGATTTTCCAGGCCTGCGCCCGCCAGGTTTGGGCCTCTGGTCGTTTTCACTAAACCACGTTTTACTAAAGGGAGGTCTGTCCATCCCCGATTGCTCCCCCTCCTTGGGCCTCCAGGGGGGCGTCCTCGTCGTGGCGCGGGGGCTCGCCTCGGGAGGAAAAACCACCCGGACCGGACAGTCGGCGTTCACGAAGCGGCCCTGGGCGTTTGTTAAAAGCAGCCCTGCCCTGTTCGATCCCTTCTTTGAGCGCGTTTGCTAGAGGCCTCGCGCGTCGGATCATCGGGGTGGATCTTCTGCCCTCTGCGGAGCCTCGTCGGGCCGTGCCCGGGGAGAGGGCCAGGGAGTGCCGGCAGCTGGCGGTGTCCGCGGCCCGTCGGGTCTCGCCGCGGGCGCCAGATCGCCGTGAGGGCCCCCGTTCGGCCAGAGGCGTGGCGAGAGAGAGAGAGAGAGAGAGTCGGGCAGGGGGGCCCGCTCGTGCTTCCATTTCGTTTCGCCATCGGGGACCCCGCCGTCACCACGGCCGCTCGGAAAGTTGTGCGGGGCGGTGCTGCGGATCTTGGATGGGTCGGGGGCCGATTTCGCCCATTGGTGGGCTGTGAGGGAGCAGCGCGTTCTTTTTTCTCGGAAAGGGCTGGGGCCCAGGGTTTTCATTTAGTCGGTAAGTTGTCCCTGGTGCCATGTAGGGGGTGGGCCAGCGAATAAGTGGCACGCGCGCCATGGCTCTTGGACAAAATGGAGGGTGAGGAGGAGAAGATGGAGGAGGAGGTGCTCCGAGGTGGCCTCGAAAATGGCTCAAGAGAGCTCAGGACGGTTGAAGGTGGCCCTCATCATGCATCGACGAGGCCCCAAGAGGGCCACAAGACGGCCCCAAGTGCTTTCGGAACAGCCTCGGGAGCCTCCCAAGAAGCCCAAATGTTTTAACAACCGAGGGAAAATCAATAAGTTGTTCCTCTCTACTTTGATGGGCTTGTGGAGCCTCCAGCCTTGACTGGCTGGGGGGGAAGAGCGGTGCCGGTGCCGTACGTGCGTGCTGAAGCAAAGTGGTCGGGGCGGAAGGCTGGCGGGGGGAAGAAGGGGAGCTGGGCTGGCTGGGAGGGAGAGCGGGGGGGGCCAGCGCCGTGTGTGCATGCCGAAATCGGTGGGCGTGGTGGAGGGAGCGCGCCGGATGGGTGGCGAGGGAGAGCTGGGCTGGCTTGGGTTGGGAGGCGGTGCTGGTGTCGTGCGTGCGTACCGAAATAAAACAATCAGGGCGGAGGGGGCACGCAGGCAAGGGGGCGAGGGGGAGCTGGGCTGGCTGGGGGGTGTTGGGCGGAGCCGGTGCCGTGCGTGCGTGCAAATACAAAGTGGTCGGGGAGGATGGGGCGCGCCAGCCGGGGGGCGGGGGATGTAAATCTTATCTGATGTTGGCCGACCGATCCTAGCAAGGCCCTGGGTCCGTTGGTATATATGTTCCACCGCTGCCGTTTCGGACCAGCGTGCCCTGGGGCCGGTAGAAAGTTACCCGGATACACGTACCGTATATCGGCGCCCCAGAGAGCGCCACAGGATTGGGCCCACCAAGGCCTTTTTGATCTCAAGTTATCTTTGACAGTTGTTTCGCCTACCTAATTACATGTTCGACGAGGCTCACGCCAGCACCGACGATGTAGTAGTTGGTAGCGGAGCCGGTCTGGCTACACGGACTGGTTCGCCATGGCGACAGAGAGTGAAAAGCACGAGACAGTACCATCCTGGGACGGAGATGTTGGTGGTGTTGATTCTTGTGTGCTGAGAGTGAAGCTCTACGTGACGGGCACGAAGAAGGACGAGAAGTCGGAAACTGGAACGTATACATTACCAGTGGCGGGCTGTTTTTCAATCCCAGGAGTTCTTGAGGGTCGAGGGCGACGCTGGGGTGGTGTGGTGTATACTTGTTCCCCGATGCTCCGGGGAAACAACGAAACATGTATACACCAGGGTCCCGTATACACCAGGATCCGCTCTCTGGTGCCAATTTCAGACGCTACGCGTATCCCCACCAGCCGTACAGGCTGGCCGACGTTCCAAGTGAGTGAGTGGTTTTGGCACCTTCCGCCTGGCAGTCCGGCCCCACCTGCGGGTCCGACCATTTAGCCCAGCCCCCCCCACTCTCGCTGGCACACGCTCAGCGGCTGCTCTTCCTAATTGCATCCCTCGCTGGCACATGTTCAGCGTCGCTTATTCTCTGCTGCTGGCACATGCTCAGCTGCTTCTTGGCCGGCTCTTGTGCTGCGCCGTTAAGTATATGCCTTCCCGCGCGCTGTGTCCCAGCCTCGTTCTTACCGCCCTCTGGACTTTTCCTTGCGGGCCGCGAATCAAAAAAAAATATCCCCACCAGCCCATCCACAAACGATGCGTAGGGGAGCTG